GGGCGGGTCTGATGGAAAATGGTGCGGCATGCGATACATCGTTGAGTAGTTTTCTCTAGGCTTATAGAATGTCATTTAAAATCTGCCAGTTAAAGACAGCTGAGAGGCAGATATCCAAAGTGGTATATACTTTACCAACTGTCATCCTGTAATAGCCATGCACTACACAACAAACAGTTTCAACTCGACATATTGTACACACAGGGTGGAGTTAAGAGTCACGTTTGCACAGATGTCACAAAGTAATGCGTGCATTACAATCACATAGACTCAATTACATCTTAAAGGGAAGAGGAGGAGAGTTGGGAGCGGGGACAATCAAGTGTTTACCGCACAGGATAATGTCACGGTGATGAAATGCCAAGATACTGGAATGGAGTCATCCTAGCTACCAGCGACTGGGTAATGGGTCAAGTCCAAAAATCACACAACAATAGGAGCTAAAATACAACTCTGAAAAATAATTTATTGCTTTTTATATATTTTTGTCTTTCATTTATATTATTATCATTGTTATTTTTATTAATCATCTTGTAATTATTGTGAATAATATTAGTAGTATCATCATTGTATATATATATTTATATATATATTACATCAAATACAAGATCTTTAAAAAATTCAGGAAAAGGAAATTGTAAACTTTTGTTTGGCATTCACATAATCAAGCGTGAGTGGAGCGATGACAACAAGTGTTTACAGTGGTACAACAAATTTCCTGCAAAATCATTTTATTGCTTCATGTTCTGCTTCTGTGTGGAAAGAAAAACCAGTGACCTGCAAATCTGACTGGTAGTGGAGACAGAAATCATTAAAATGATGAGGGGCTGACTGCTGGAGTGATTAGCTGAATGTTTTGATTGTTTTGGAAAGGCATAGAAGGTAATATTATCCCCCACCAAACCATTTATTGTACACCCTGTCTAGTGATTGTAAGTTAAATAACACAAATCAAAAGGACAACATAAACAGTAAATAAATTTCATGAAGGTGCGCCATGTAAAATGGAGCTCATAAATATTCTTGATTCAAATATTAAAATAAATAGATAAATATGTGTTTGTATTGATTGAAAAGATTTGAATGCAGTATCGTCTCTCACTGAAGGTAATCAAAACGAGAACCATACAAAGCAATGAAATCAAACCAAGTTATATATATATATATATATATATATATGTATATGTATATATATACACTGATTGCTTCAGAAATAATTAATAAAAAAATGGGGTACCTTTTTTTTTACAATCATGAAAAACACGTTAAAAATGCATTTTACACTGGTTGTATAAGCAAAAACACTGATTGAGAAACTTTATAAACAGATAAAACTATACATGGTTGACTGCTTTTTCCCCAACAAAATAACTTAAAAAAGGACGTTTGTTCACATGCTCCCTCAAAATGAGCAATTGGACACATCTTTTTTCTTTTTTTTTTACAATCATATCATGTCTTCTAAACATCATGTAGGTGTACAATATGTTTTACAGTATTGTAATTACTACAGATCGACATTCTGAATTAAGAAAGTTTCTCCTCATTTTTAAAAAAGGCTGCATTTTACAGTGCATAGCTGTAACAAATAAAGAACTTTATCCGATATGTACATAAAATAAAAATATTCCTTTTTATAGTATTTGTAAATACACAGCTACATTTCTCCTTAAAATGTAGACAACAATGTTACCTTGAGAATTTTACCTCCAAGATACAATTCCCTATACTCTTGCTTGTAACACTAGATCCAAACACCAGATTTAAAAGAATAAAAGAAAGAAAAGTCAACAGCAAAAGAAAACAAATCTGGTTGAACAAGCTGCATGTTTTCACTCCCAAAGAATTGTGGGCATTGTAGTGCTTGGAGAAAAATAATCATGAAAGTTTTTCTTTTCTTCTTTTACTGATGGTTGTACAGCAGTAGAGTGCACCAAACCTGTGCACCAGGTTCTGAGGGTTCACTGGCTTTCCCAGAATGCATTGTCTCTTTCCAGCTCTTCAGCAGCTATGTTCATGTAAACTTTATTTTTGATATATTCATTTATATTGATATAGGTCTATAGACTTATTCTTATATACTCTATGACATAGAGTGTAAAACTTCTGGTAGTCTCGTCGTCAAAGGAGCGAGAAACAACAGTGAGGTATCAGAAGTCCCTCTTTGTGACAGACAGCAGGTGCCACTGAACTGGTTACCTTCTCAGGCTGCGCTGGGCCTCCCTCAGCAAGCTGTCAAAATCCATGGAGTCATACTTGCTTTTTGTGGAGGCTGGATCAAAGTCGTCCGAATGGGAGTCTGAAAGCGGCAAGAAAGGATTGCGGTCAGTGTTGAGCAGAGCAGGACTTCTTTGAAAATGCACATAAAACAAGAGGTACACCTTTGTATTCTCGGAAAACATTCCCAGAATACTCGGCCTTTACACCGTTATTGCTCGGTCATGTGTAGTTCAGTGTTAATATGATGCTATTCGGCTTGAGAGAGATATGCATATTCCTTAAGAAGAAAGTAATTTGTTCCCCGTCTTTGGTTGCATTAAGCATCATGTTGCCAGATGTATACAATATCATGAGTAACATGAAAGCTTGAAATACAGGATAATGCACAGCTGCTGTATGCAAAAAGTTAGTCTTAAAGTTAATGTTTTACAAGGAGTTATATATTGGATGATTTCTTGGCTGGCCACTATAAATAGCTGGAAAATGTCTGAATCCATAACTGTCTGTTTACATAGCAACCCATTTACCACCAAATAATTCAAATAGTGAGGGTAGGAAAAAGTGTTTTCTACACGAAGGTAACAAATGTGAAAACGTACCCTTGTGTCTGTCCATCTCTCATATGTCCTATTTTTCCTGATCAAGCTGATAATACATAAAGAGTATCTTATCTCTGCCAACAGACAGCTTCACAAATGGGGCCCCCAAAGGGCCCAGCAGCACACTGCGAGAGCTTTGAGAAATGGGAATGACCATGGCAGCCAGAAGACGCCAGTCGTGATCTAATGCAATGGCCAAGGGCTGGATTGTGTCACACTGCGCACCTTGAGGGATGAAAAATACCCCGGTGCTCTACTTAAAACTAATGGACAGTGTCTCTGAAAAAAAAGTGAGCGAGTGCCTACAAGATTGAGAAGACAGGGAGAGGTTTGGATACCACACTATTATAAGATTCTCGCTTCCTCTCAATCTCTTTATCCTGTGCTATCAGTACGGGGACGACCAAAATAGCCTGTTCCTATCCTGACAAAGAGGCGGACAAATGAAGGCCTTTCCATTTCAGTAGACTGATTAGTCAATCTCGGCATAATGTCTATCCTCAAGGCTTTGGGATTAGCAACTGTTTCTCTGTGTGTCAATTTCTCATCATGTCCTCCTCTTTAAAAGCTTCAAGCATGTGCTTTGAAAATGTATAATAACTGCTTCATTTATTGAAGAAACTGCTCTTTTTCTCTCTAGTGACCCTTTGACCCTCTCGCAGCAGTGCATTATACATTCCTGACCTCACATTTTGCTTGTAAATAAATGTCAAAGGAAAACTGGCTGCAGATGCAAGCGTCAATACCCATCTTGTATGTCATCGCCAAATGGAGGAGATGATCTTTTGTGGGTGTGAAACACTCAACATAATGGGGCATCTCTCCCTTAAGCTTCGATGTGGCTGCTCAATTATCACCGCGCAACAACTGTATCTAACGGAAGAGAAGAAAGTACCCTTTTTTTCTTCCCATGTCAAAAGCGGGGCGTCATGCAAGAGGAAAAAGCCTTGATTTCATTGATATCTTGCATTATTTAGCGAATGCATCATTCAACGCTCAGCTGCATCCACTTGAGTGCAGATTTCTAGTTGTTGTATGTATTTGATCAATGTAGAAGCTATGTACTTGCATCGGCTACATATGTGCATGTTTACTCATACTTATGTTGGATGAGTTCTGCCACACTGCGGTCTGCCTCAACCCCCTGACTCCCAACAAAGGCACAAGGTATGCATAAGTAGGTATTCTCTTCCCTTTATGTAAATTACAGGCCCTTACGTGCCACATCAAGGCTCTACCTCCTTTCAACGCCGTAACAGCTGGCAACAGATGGAACCTCATTCTATTGGGAGGAGGGGTTGCTGGGACCTAACCTTGCTCCCACCTTCCTCTTCCTCACCTCCTTTTCTTTCCTCTATTTTGTCTTTCTCCTGGTAATTTCATCTCTCTTCCTCCCTCCTCTTCGCCATGCTCTTAAAAGTGATTCCCACACCCACGCATGTATATCCAACGGCAGATGAAAACTCATTTGGTATACAGCTGCACACATGCTTTTAAGTGCTATCTTTCTTCCTAATGAGTTGCATTTCATTTCAACAAAGTAGAGACAAGCATCCCATGTTCACATGAGTAATGTAGTCAGCCTTGTTTTCCTTAAGATATTACAGCTACGAGCAGGGAGGAAATGGTGCTCTATTTTTAGCATGTTCACAGCCTGACCTCTGAACTCTCTTTGCCCTTTTGAGCCACAAATGCCTGGTGGACAAATTCAGGGCCGAAGGAATAGTTACAAGCACAGAGATGGGTCTCTTTTGATCTGGAAGCATCACTCAAGCCTTTTTTTGTACTGTTTGATTTGCCCCCCTCTTCCCCCCCTTTTTTTTTTCTTTTCACTGACAGTGCTCCCAGCTATGCAAATATACCGCCTGACTGCAGGGGGCTGATGGAGAGAACAACAAAGCTGCACTTACCCAAATCTGTGTAATGTGATTTGCAGAACTGCTTTTGCCCGCCAAAGCACAGCTCGAACTGAGGCTCGTTTGACCTGCGTAAGGTGTGTCCGTTCTCAAGGGCGGCAAAGGCGTCACAAGTGTAGCGGTACGTGATGAAGCCAAAATTGTCCCTGGTCAAGAATAGAAAATGATACGTCAGAGTGGGGCTGCAGGGCAACAATAACTAAACAGAGGGCCTTGTCTTAGATGACGATCATGCTATTTATATGCAAAAGAGAATCAATAAAAGTGTATCTTTGGGGCTCCGTAGGCCTAGAACGAAGATGGATCAGGAGACGCTCTGAGACTGCAAAAGCTCCATCTTTGTCTTAGACCTTCAACACTTGACTTTGCAAGTTCAAAAGCTACAGCAGTTTCCCATCCCTCTACACGAACACCAGACTACCATATAGACGCACACACACATGCACAATAAGTCCTGGGGCCTTACCCATCGTCCCTCAAGTTCACTGCACATTCTTCAATTTCGCCAAAGACTTCAAAGCGACGCTTCAACTCCGTCCGGGTGCAGTCGGACCTCAGTCGCCCCACGTACACCACCCGTCTCTCCTCCTGCTCGTTAAGGGGAAAGACAGAGCGGAGGAAGGAGATTAAAAGGGGGAGTCTGTTTTTCCTTTTCCCCTCTCTTTTCTTCACTGAGCCCTAATGAATTGGTCTTGATCACTCCTGTGGATACTGCAGCTAACTCTAGGCCCTCCGTTTTTTGCCCCTCTCCTCTGTGTGTCTGTTGTGTTCCACTGTGATTGGTTCAGCTTGCTTCCTGTTATCTGATAGAGTTGCAGATAGAGCGCCTTCCGTCTGCCTTGGCACTACAATTCCTTTTTCTCTCTGCAACTCATCAACCAGAGGCAGAGTGATTTTTATCAAATGATGCCATGTCTTAAGTTTGGGGCTGCTTCTTCTTTTGTGGAGTCTAAAAATAAAACTGTGGTGACTCAGCCATACATCAGAGAAGCCTGTTTCTTTCTCTCCAACTTAGGAGTCAAACTCCCAATACACAGCAAAGTAGTTTGCTCAATGAGAGGTCTGTTAATATGGTAGAGATATTCATTTCCAAGAGAGAGGGTGCATTAAGAGCAACAGCAGTGAGCCACAGGGCAAAAAACACGGATTTCCTTGAACCTCAGAGGACAAGGGGGTCATAGTGGAATAATTTAGGAGCAAACTGCACCAGGCTGCAATTACAGCTTTTGAGTAATTTAATTGCAACTGCTAATCATATGTTACTGCACAAGCCTGGGGCTGTAGTGTATCACTAGTATTATTTATTTATTCATTCATTCATTTACTCGCCATTACTGGGGCAAGTCCATTGAGGCCCAATGAAATGTAATGCTGTCTTGAGGGCAGTCGTAACATGTATGTAAATCAGTTGCTTGGTGCTAAACTCAAAGTTCACCTTTGCCCCGTTAGACTTATATAAAGCAGCTGAGAAAAGATACAAATTAACTACAGATTACTGTTTTTATGCTTTTCCACTCTCTCTTTCGCTTACATACTGTTTGAGACAAAAAAAGAGTATTTGCTGAATTAGGGGTTTAGTTGCTGACAACTGATAAATAGGCGGCCTTTTCTTGATGGCACCCTGAGGGCTGCTTGTGTATGTGTGGGTGTGTGAGTGAGTGAGAGAATGAAGCAAAAACAGAGTGAGAGAGACAGACAGACACGTTTTCACATCCCTGGCCTCCCAAACCTTATTTGACAGCTTCAGCTGTACTGCTCGCAATTGTTTGTCTTTCCATCTCTGAAAATGTATGGGTGCCAAGCCAGGTTTGCATTACTGCATCATTTAATGTGTGCTTTATCAACGGGTGGTAGTAGCGTTACCACTGCTGGAAACCTGAGTAATTTCACACTAAGACATGGAGAGCGGAGATATGGCAGAAATGTGATATTCACTGCATCAGGCTGAATTTTAAAACAGATACAGAATAAGGAAAAAGAGCTCAAGAGAATCAGTGGCCGTTTCCTTTTTTGTCTTTTCCCCGTCTTGCTCTCCTAGTTTCTGTTTTCCACTATTTTAACATTTTACCCCTGTGGTGTGATTAATAAGAGACGACAGTGTTTCCAGACGACAGAGACGTTAAAAATACACAACCCCGAGATAAAGAGGAAGGGCCTGTCGCCTGAATCATTCAGGAACTCACTTTGTATGTATTCTTTCAGTAGGGAGACACTGTGGCACATGGCACTGGGCTGGAGGCTGTCTCATTCTTAGTAATGTGTGTGTGTGTGTGTCTGTGGGAGGTTTCTGTGTGTTTGCAAGAATTTGTAAATGTGCCACAGCAGCAGTGATTGCATGCGGTCTTTTATCAGTGTCTGCAGGGAAGACGTAAAGTCAAGCATAGAAAAAAAAAGAGGATAGAGGAAATTAGATGGCGTTTGTGTCTGTTGACTCACTATTGCTTTTTGCCTTTGCCTTTCTCTCTGCTCGGCCCTTTCAAACTCCAGCTTCTCGTAGTCCCGGCGGTACTCCTCCCTCTTCAGCCTCTCGTGCTGGTACTCCTCATAGCTGTCATACCTGCGGAGGAAAGGATAAGTATGACATCAGCCCGTCCTCTAAATTCACCCTTCCTGTTGATGTCTACGAAGAACAATTACCAGTATTCACCAAGGACTAGGTCCACTATTCTCTCGCCACTGATGGTTGAGAAGGGTTGCAAAGGAAAGGAAATAGACATGTTAATAAGATGTCTCTTCGCCAACGCTATGATTACGGAGCCCGCAGGATAGGCCTGCGGGAGTGCCGGCGAGTGGCGCGGTCGGGGAGCCAGGCAGTTGCAACTGTCAGCACAACTTCACATGTCATTACTTTCTGCTTAGTTAGGGCTTCATCAAGAAGGAAAGTGCAACTTTCTCCCCCACCCCAGACTAGCATAAGACGTGTCCGTTAAGTTTTCGACTGATGAGCGACTCTCAGGCTTGTCGGGTGTCATTAGGCCCGTGGGTGCCAAATCAGCTCGGAGCGCTGAGATGGTGTCAGTCTCCCTCTCTCTCTCTCTCTCTCTCTCTTTCTGCACTGTGCCAGTACTTCTCTGCATATGAAATGGTCTCCTCTGCAGTGGCTCATGGAAAACTACAGAGGCACTAAGTTGAATAAGCGTCATTGTGCAGCTTGGAGCGTCAACTCATGAGTGAAGTATGAGATGACGATTTGGGATGCTTGTGTCACAAGTCCAATAAAGCATGATCAATTAAACATATTTGCCCTGAATGTTTGTCACGGGGTCCCCGTGTGGATGGGGCAGACTGCGCACAAGCTTTGGTCTTGATGTGAAAAGGGAATCGCAGAGAAAGCAAACTATTTATGAATGGTGACAGGGAAAAGTTACTTTTACTGCATTTGTCTAGGGTGACTTTTTTATTTCAGCCATCTTTCCTTACATACCATAACAAGGTCTTTGCCAGGCAGTTGCTAAGAATAAACATTTGTCCTAAACCCAAGTACGCGACTAAACAGAGGTTAACGACATATAAAATTGGAGGTTAAATAATTCATTTAAAATAATCACCTTGGCCTGCGGCTGAGAGGAGATCGAGACTGAGGGTGGGGGCTCTTGTGAGTCCTGGAACGAAAAGTGCTTGAATCTGTATTGTGACGAGACCTGTGGGAGAAACAGAAAATGTTGAATATGGCAGTATTACTTTTTAGCAACACCTAGGAATGCTGTTCATCTCACACGTTTAAAAAAAAAGACGCGTGCAAACTTGTGACACCCTGGTTAATTTGTTCTTGGCTTTGGGAGCCAAATTAACTTCTTTGATATTCACAAGACCCATTTAGATGTTAGAAACTGGGTTAATTCCAGATAAAAGCATTCTGTATTCCCTTGCCTTTCCTTCATCTAATCCATGACCACAGAAAGTGTGCATGATTTTCTACAGAACTTTTGTACACACCTGAGCTATCATATACATGCACCTGCCATCTATGTTGTATGAGCAAACGGTCAATACTGCATGCCCTGGTGACCAAACTGTAGAGCTTGTACCCCTGCACACGTTAAGCTTCTGATGCTTAATTATTGAAGTGTTGCTGAAGAAGGAAGAGCTGAATTATGCAGGGAGAGAAGTTTGGGAAGCTCAGAGAAGCAAAGGAATGCCAGTTTGGAAAGATTGAAGATCTTATGCTGTGCAACTTGAAACAGGGAGGAGGGATTTTTGAGCATTATTTTGCTAAAAATCTATTTATCTTTTCTTGCATGAAAATGTAACAAGCCTCTTGTTCTGTTGCCTTCAAAACTCCAATCCCTAGCCAGTATTTTCAGAAAAAGCTTGTCGTGTCAGCATGTCAGATTCTGATCGAATGCCTTGAGACTATTACTGTATAATTTGTGAGCAAGTTGGTGTAGAGTAAAGAACAAGAGCCCGGACAGAATAAAGTGATTCTATTGGCTCTGTGGAGTAAACTGACCTTTAAGTAATCAGGCAAACAAACTCAGTCACTGCAGTGGAGTCCTGCAATGTGAGGCACTCAATGAACTACTACTGACAAACTGAATTTCCTCACATCCTTCTCAGTAACTCTGCTTTGCCTCTGTTCTTCTACCAAAAAAAAAAAAAAAAACAGAAAACCCCTTGGCTCTGATCAAAGAGAAGCATGGGAAATGTAGTTCTCACACAGAGCTATGATGATACGATTCTCTTTTGAGAGGAGTTTGAGACTACATTCCCACAGCCTGGATTTGGCTTTCATCTCTGGGGATGTAGAAGAGGAGGCTTTGCCACTCAGTAAAAACAACAGCTGCCGCTTAAAACAATAGCCCCGGCATCAAACAAAAAACAGGAGCATACGAAAGAGTAAGTGAGGAGGGGGGGTGAGTGTTAGGAAGACATTCAAATAAAACTCCCTGCCTAGAGATTAAAACTCGTACTGTTCAAAAGTCCAGCGCCTCTGGCACGTTTCATGTCCTGGGTTTTTCCTTTTTGTTCAGTGTGTATTGTTTTATTGGGAGATGGTATCATTCACACAATATTTTATCATTTCAGAGAAGTGCCACCTGTTTTAATAGTCTGGTTAGTATAAAAACTGCAGACATTTTGCAGTTCGTTGGAATCCGTTCCGCCTCTCTCTTTCACCTGTTGAATCTCCGTGTGTAAGACTTGCCTAATCTATCCTACATTTAGTCCAAGCAAGACAAAGACTAGTAGGAAGTCAAGAAACCATGCTAAGAGTTTCCAGGGTCTATTCGGTCTGACACCAGCCCTGACGACTGATCAGGCCTGTTTTACACTCCTAAGCTAGATCCCCTGCCAGCTCCAAGCCCTGTTTTAAACTGCATGGGTGGGGAGCAGTCAAGGCTCAGCCAAAAAAGGCAGGAAGCGTGTATGTGTGTGTGCGTGTAAGAGATGACTTACCAGGAGGAGGGGCGTCTGTCAGGTGAACTGGAGAGGGAGCGCCTCCGGTGGTGTGAGGAGGAGCTGCGGGAGCCAGAATGGGAACGAGAACGGGAGCGGGAGCTGCTGCTGGTCCAGCAGAAAGGCCTGCTGGGCGAGAGGAGGAGAGAGGAAGGTGGGGAGACGGAGCCTCGTGAAGGGGAGCAGCTGGATGGTGGGGAACAGGAGGGAGAGCAGGGGGGGCAGTCAAAGAGTAGGTCCAGAGGGGTGCCCTCCCATGGATAGAGGAAGCGACTCTCACGGCCCTCACCCAGCTCTAGCTCTTCGTGGAAGGGCAGGAACCCTGGGTGCAGGTAGCTGGAGCCTGGCAGCCTTTGGGAGCAGTTACCATCCTCTCCTTCCTCAAGAGACTGAGGGGCTGTAGCCTTATTCGGTTTGCTGCCTGGTTCTCTCTTCTGGCCACCCTGGCTATGAAGGGCATGTAAGGGATGACCAAAGTGCTTATTGAGTTCTGCTCTGATTTCCTTGTCGCACAGGAGCTTCCGGCTGATGGCAGAAGAGTGCTGTTGGTCCCCGTCAGTAGTGGCCTCTTGTGATGGGATCTGGAGGGTTTGTGTAAGGGTCTGCTTCCCTAAACCCTGGACCCGGGCTGCTTCTCCATCCACAGAGGCAAAATTCTGCTGCTTAACCAAAGGACCAGATGAAGCTGATAATGGAGAACAAGATGATGATGATGATGATGAAGAGGACGGTGGCATGGCTGAGTCCTTACATTCGACATGCCTGTCCTCCACTTTGCCTGCAATTGGCATGGGAGTAACAGTGGCACCTGAGGTGACTGTAGTCATGGTAACAGTGGCTGTGCCGCCGTCCTTCTTAGTGCTAGCTGACGCTTGGCAATAGTCATGATCACTGTAGCAGCGGGGCGCCGCTCGCTTATTGTTGCTAGTGCTGCGATGCTCCTCAAGGCCACCCCCCACTGTGTGTTGGGTGACAGAGTAAGGGAGGGCGGTGGACGCTTTGCTCAGCTGGGCATAAAGCTCAGTCTGTTCGGGACCCTTCCTTGTGGGGCCCCCGCCTGAGGCACCTGGGGCCGGGGCCAGAGCGCCGGGGCCCAACTCGCTCAGCCTGGCTCTTTTGCATGCCAAGGCTGAGGAGGAACATGAAGACAACTTGGTTTTGAGCGATGCTTTGAAAGGATTCTCTTGACTGGCTTTGTGTGGGGGCGTGGTGGGTGGTGTCAGACCTGCAGAGGGAGGAGAAGACAGAGATTGGCGGAGGCAATAAAATGAAAATGGAATCATAATGCAAACCCCCTCCAAATACCCCTTCTCCCTCCTCCCCTCACTCATCTATAAACTCCCAGGTCAGTTTATGGACAGTGGACACAGATACATGCCTGATTAAAATATTCACTTTCACTTGGCCTAATCCTGATCTCTATTTTATTGCAATCTTGACAGATTAATGTAATGCTTGGTGTAACTTAATATGGTGGTGCTGTAATATGGATGACTTGCCATCCCCTTCCTCTCTGACCTTGGAAAGATCCCTTTTCATGGAAAAAAAAAACAACACAAAACCCTGTAGAGGACAAATGTAATGCATCCGATGAAAAGAATTAAAGCACATGTATCATATCTCTGCCTGCCTCACATAAATGTCTGCACTGGACAGCAGCCAATTCATCTGAATAAAACCAAAGACCTTTTTTATCAGTCTGTAAGGAAAAAAATCACTGACATGATGCCATGCGTGTTTCAAGATTATCCAGCACACCATCTCCCTTTTCTGTGGAACAATATAAGAAGACATGTCACTACTCTTAATGCACACGTTACTATGCCTGGTGAGGTTGCCAGGCGAGATGTCTCCTAAGTCATGGAAGCAAGGGAAGAACTGGCGAATGGGTTGTCATTCTTCTCAGATGGCATGTCCTTACTGCTTGTGCCCCCCCCACACCCACCCCCAACCCCCCTTTCTCCCACCTCCTACAGATTTACAACCAGACAGATGGCAGTTATATGGGAAGTCCTGGGATGAGCCCACTTTATAGCATTGTTAATGCACTCACACAAACAGCCGCCACCATTACTCTCATTCTTGCTTTCCTCCTCTCCTTTAGTCTTGTATTCTGCCTTTTTCTCTCTCTCTCTTCCTGTCTGCCATCTTCCCTGGATCAATCTTTATTCCTCCCCCTTTCCGTCTCTCGGCATCCTATCCTGTTTCTGTCTCGCACAGAACAAATGTGCCCCCACACACACATGCACTCGTCACTAACAGTCTCTCACTGGAGTCAAACTCAGGCACTTTGAAACACCTACGCTCTCCCTTCTTCTTTGCCTTTCTTATAATGCACATCATTCTTCCCTTGCTGGTGAATTGCACCAAATGACAGCTATTAGTATCAAATCCAGTGTTTGAGTATGCACGGGGAAGACAGCTTGGCAAAGAGAATGTGGGATCTTGATACATAAATATGCAAGTTTCTGAAACCACTTGCTGTGTTCTGAATGCCTGATCCAAGGGCTTATCATCCTACATATTATCTGGATGTGTCTGTAAGTAGGACTGCAAGCCGCCACTCCCCTCTTTCCCCCCTTCCCTCTCTCAGTACTGATAGTTAGGGCACTATGGACATATATATATAAATATATATATGCAGTTTGCCAATGAAATGAGCTATGAAAAGGAGAAGGGCGAGAGGGAGAGGGGAAGCTACACAATGCCTGAGGAACTTCTGTTTCACCAATGAAGCGCCATCTGTCCAAAACAATGTGTGCGTGGGGTCATAAACTAGGAGCCATTAGCGATGGGGGTGAAATAAATCAGAATTAGATAAATATGTGCCTCTCAGTCAAACTTGCTAGTGATGGATGATCCGCAGACACAAACACCAATCATGCAGCCACCGGAGAGAAAACGATGGAGCAAGTGAGCAAGACAGAGAGAAAGAAGAGGGTTTTATAATCTTTTTTTCTCGTCCAGCTGTAAATTGAGAGGAGACCTCGGAGCGAATAACAACTAGGTGCTTAAAGAGTTGATCCGGTGGTAAGCCATGCAAATAGCAACACACAGACCACCCCAGTGTCATGAGATACAGTAATTAAAGACAACACGGCTGCACAGGGTAAATCTATTAGCTTGGCAGAGATTAGGCCAGAACAGTCAGATCCCAGGGGGCCTCACTGCCTGTTGTAGCTTTTATTGTGTACCTCTCTGAGAAGTATCAAGAAAACATACAGCTAATAGTCACAAAAGTTCCTATTTTTTAGTGTGCAACAGCATTTGGCTGAGTACAATATGTACAGCTCTATGTATAACTGAATTTATCTTTCTATGAAACAGTAACTACTATTACTACAACTCATCAGGTATAAAATATTTTTTTACTGGCAGCAATTCATGGAAAGTTCCATCAGTGAGTTGTCGACCTGCCTTTAAAGGTGCAGGGTGGAACCGCCCACCTGGCTAACTTCCATCCGGTTATCAGTAACACCACCATAATCTGTACTGTAGTGGAATGTTACTCTTAATCTGCAAAGGACATGTAACTCCGGACCTAAAAGCTTTCACCTCAACTTACTGGGATCTATATCCATCTGTCTCATACAGCACAAGACTCAAAAGCTAATCCCTTAGTAGGAAAGGGGCTCAGTAACCTGGAGATTTCTGGGCTAATGACTTTCCTGCTAATATTCAATCCTAAATTTGCACAGGATGGCAAAGTCAGGTGAAGGGCTTTATTTGACTGTGCTTGTAAAATGGATGCAGTGAATCAGAACGGACGCCCAGATCTGGCCACAGGTCAACAGATTTACCCACGTGCAGTAAAACAGGAAGAAATATTAACCTTGCTTGATTGCCCCAGGGCTTAAGCAGCCATGCGCTTTCCCTTTTTTAGGTCTCAAAAGGCATCACCTTTGACCCCGAAACCTTATCTACCCAAAAAGGGTTAAACAGCCCTTTGACCAAGGTCAGAGGGACAGAGGGAGACCTCTTGCGGTCTGATTTCTTCCCTTGAGGGCTAAGTAGAAGGTATGCATGAAGACGATTTCCTTTGCTGGTAAATGAATACCCAAAGGGGCCAGAGCCGTGTCAGGGACTAAAGGGCAGCCATTTTGTTTTTATTGACCATAGATGATTAATCTGGGAAAGAAGGGGGGTAATTACTAACATTATTTGCACAGAGAGAGAAAGAGAGATATAACTCCCAATAACGAAGCTTCTGCATTCTCTTTTACTTTTGACATTCTGTTCATTTTTTGTCATGTCATTACCTTGTGCCTATAGCTTTTATCTGATGTAGTTAATTATAAGTGAATAACACAAAAGGATGGTGTCAATAACGATGCTGAAAAACCCCTCACACTGACTATTTTCAAAACAGCTTCCTTTGCACATAACTCGTAACATTGGAAAATTACATCCAAGTCAGCTGATCTAATTGCCTGTAATGTCTAGGGACCTAAGGCAAGGAAGGCACAGATCATATGGGCAAAACTGAATTACACTGCAAAACCAATTAAAACAATAACACCGCCATTTCAATTTTCCTATGATGCATAGGCTAAGTAAGCTGTCCGTCTGAGAGCATTAGGATCTGATAGAGGAAGAGGAAAAGCATATTAACTCTTCAGTAACAGTGGAGGGGAGGTGGAGAAGGACAGGAGGGGTTTGCTAATAAACCCTGAAGAGATTGGAAAGCCTAATCAATACTCAGGCACATAAAAATGCTCTCCTATGCATTCACCTTGAACTCTGAACTGTAAGAGAACTATCAAGATGTTGGAGCTAGAGTTAACCCATTATCAGCTGCACGATGGGAATTTCCACTCCCTAGTCATTTTTTAATAACAACTAGTGTGCTTACCTGGGGTTCCAGCAATTTCCACACTTAATGTGCGTTCAATGGTTTTGTTCTCAAACGGTGATCCCTTGTGGTCACTGCAAGACAAAAAAAAAGTGCAACATTTTACTTTTCAGGTGAAAGTAATACTTTAAAAGCTTTTTGTGATATTAAGAAATGGAAATGACTCACAAAAAATGCCTCAATTTGGATTCTAATCTATATAGTTTTCTTTGGCTTTGTCTTTTTCTGTAGTTTGTTGTTGCTTTTTTTGCCTGGAATAATGTGGAAAAACTTCTCACACTTACTTTGGAGACTCTGGGGTCAAAGGAAGTGGCAAGGTGGTTGGTTTGGCTGCAGAACACAAAGGAGCATGGGTAATTATTGATCTAGGTATAACACTCATGGCAGAAGAGAACAGGTCCACATTCTGCAACAATTAACCTCAAATTGGCTCATTAAATGCAATTATTACTACAAAAACACCCATTAGAACGTCTTTCTATGGACACTATTGTACAAAGCATATATTTTTAGATTGACCCCGTTTTAACAATTTATTTTCTTAGGATAGACTGTTCACTTTGTGAGGCAGGATGAAGTGATGGTGCGTATTTTACAGGTGTCTAGACACAGACATACCCCGCTCAAGACAACAAATAGATTGAAAATGGAATAAAGACATAAAGAGACGATGCCACAAACAAGACACATGACAGTGGATGAGCCCCTCCCTGGACAATAAAGTCATAATCGCATGCACCAACAGCAGAGGAGGGGGAAAAAAGAAGGAAGAAAGGAGAGTCAAGGAAGCTTGTGCAGTTGCCCGAGGCTCAGGCCGACTTGTGCTCCAGCTAAGGGAACGTGGCTTTAGTAGCACGACGCTAAAGAGCAACACCCGGGCTCTGAGTCTAAATGTACATATTCAGCACACTCAGCTCAAACAGCCAAAGATGGTTCAAGGGTCGACTTTATGAATACAAGACGTACAGTAGCAAGACATGGCTCACCCCTTTTCCCACCCCCTCCTTTTTTTTCACTCTTTTTAAATTTAAAAGAAGGCCTTCGGGACTAGCAAAAAGCATTGGCTAGCAGGCTGTTCGTTGTCGTTGTTTGTGCCCTCAGAATGACTGTTAGGTTCGTATTAGAATAGGGGTTAGTTGTGAAGTCAAACTGGGAAGTGGTTAAAGCAGGAGAGGGAGAAGAGAGAGCAAAGATAAGGCCAGTGGGGGGGATGCAGTCATGATTACCTAACAACGGGTGGCCCTGGTCGTCGGGGTGCTCGCTGAGTGCCTGCCTGTGTGGGTGCCCTTGCCCTTGTATGATGCAGGGAGGGGCGGGCTCTGCAATTCTAGTATCTGGGAAGAGTGGGCTTGGTGGGCCCTGTGAGAGCACCGCTGCAGGGCTGCCCGTGACATGGTCATCATCATCATCATCATCAACACCTTCATCATCATCATGGTCAACATCCTCCCCATGGATTAGCCACCCCAGCTCTAGTCCAAAGCCTGTGTCTAGCCCTGGCTGGCTAACCCAGCTCTCTAGGTCTAAGGCCAGAGGTGACAACAGGGACCCTGAGTCAGGCTCTTCAACCTGACTTACAGCCCGGTTTCTACAATCAGTGGTCCCTCCCAACTTTTTCTCCTCCACCTTTGAGACAGTCTGGGCTGGGCTCTTAGACCTTTTACCTGCTGATTTGCTCAGAGTGCTGGGTAAAGGGGTGATCTTAGGTGGGAGTAAGTGGGCTCTATATCGAGCAGGCCTCTTTTTGGAGGTGAGCAGCTGGCTAAGTAAGGGGTGCCCCGGCTTCTCATCTCTTTTCCTAATAGTCACTGTGATGTGCCTACGTGGTGCACGGCTGGCACCATTACTGTTACCACGGCCTTGCCTGCCAAAGCCCTCACTAGCCTGAGTGGCGCCCGCAGCCTCTCGGCAATGCTCACAGCTGTGACTCACCTCTCGGGGAGGGAGGGAATAAGAATGCATATACCTAATAAACCTAGCGGCGGCCAGGCGGCCCACATCGCCTGGCGGCCTTCCTTCTTCACTGGGCGGCCCGTGCTCCAGTTTGGGGCGGGCATGGCCGCAGGTGGAGGTTCTGTGGCCGACAGGGATAGAAGCACCCTCCGACTCCTCAACCCCGTCATCGTGACTGCAACGCTGCCACTTCCCAGCCCCAACACCAGCCACACTACACTCGCCTGCAGCCCGGCTCTCACCTCGCTGGTGATGCTGCTGCGGCGGCTGCTGCTGCTGCTGCTGCTGCTGCTGCTGCTGTGCGCTGGCTTGCTGCTGTAGTTGTTGAGATGGTACAGCTGACTTCTTCTTGGAGGTGGTGGAGGATGAGGAAGAAGAGGTGGAGGAGAGGGAGGAGAACGAGGAGGTGGATGACGAGGATGGCGAAGAGGAGGAGGAAGACGCGCCAAGACCCAAGCCACCCTTTTCTCTGCTACTGGCACCCCCCCAGGTGCTCTTGGCTTCACTGGCTTTGGTGTGGAGCAGGATGTCATCAGTGGCCGTTAGGTATTTCAGCAGCTCAGTGCAAGGCCGCCTCACCGGGCGGTTCTGTTGGCTGGAGCCCCCTCTTGCTTTGCCATTCCAGGGGCTCTCCGTCTGTGCAACACAATAAGACAGAGAGAAAATGATTTAGCTTTCTTAGATAAAAAGTTTTGCTCATTGTTGTCACTATAGTGCAGTTGATCTAGTTGTGAGAAATGTTAAGTTCTTTATTTGGCACAAAAATAAAAGTAGATGGAGATCGAGGGAGAGGCTAAAAGAGCGACTCAGACTGCCTGTGCACAGTGGTTGCCCAACTGTCTGGGAGGCAATGGTGGGAGTGCAGTCCGCCCATCATCTTAATTGTGTGGCCCTCCGAGCACCACCGCGCCACTCTGTACGCGCACCATGTCCTCTGGGAGTCCTCATTCGCTGTGCTCCAGAAATGGATGACTCAAAGGCACAGTATGAAAATAGAATCTGTGAGGAAGGTTGACGCACTGCATGTGCAAACATAGTACGCAGTACGCACAACACACAAATCTCTCTGTGTGTTATGTTTACCACACAATATGATCACATACAGATGTTTTTCACATTCAGAAGATTTTAAGCACTAGGGAAAGCATAACAAATAGAGATTTCAGACATTTTTCCAAACAAGAGCAAATTATCAAGTGCTGTAAGCTGTATGTGACACTCAACATACAGTATGGCATATACTTACAGATACAGATTACTGAAATCAAATACTTTTTTATACACATTCGTAAATGTATGATACTTTTTTTCCGAAAAGTATCTCAATCAACCCCACCCCTTTAGAAAAAAATCCTTTTGAGAGCCATCTAATGAGAACATCAAGTCTGATATTTTGATCTTGTCGTCTCAAGGCATCAATCTCGCCGCAAGAGTGCCTGTCGCTGCTTTTTTTTTTTTTTCCAACAGGCACCATACCAGGGCGGATAAGTGGTGGAGCTAATGAGACAACAGTGCCGATGCCTCGCCTGGAAAGCCCAACAGCAATCAGCCTGTTTTCATTACGAGATGGCCCCCTGGGATAGTAGACTAGAGCAGTAGTCTAACATCTTCTAAAGGCGGCCACCAAAACAAGAAAAGTGTGAGAGGGAGGGAGAAAGAGCAAGACACAAGGCAGAGCAAGAACAGAATGAGAGGGATAAACAAACACTAACGAAAAATGCGTATACAGGAGTGAAATAAGCAGCAAGGCAGTGGATGTATTTGTGTGTGTGTGTGTGTCCCTACCTTGACGACGGCAGGTGGTGGTCTGATCCGGTGGTTGCTGCTGGCTGCATGGTTCTGTGCCTTGCCACCTGTGTATTGATTATAGCTGAGCTGGGAGTTTGCGGGTGCCAGAAGGAGCTTCTTCAGCTGCGAATGGACCCAAACAGAACAAGAGAAAGAGGGGAGGGGGAAGTGAGTGGGGGGTTATTATGCAAATGACCATTTTCTTTCAATTAGACAGCCTGTCCTTTGTAAATGTAGCAGAAGAAAATAGTTGGTCTCTTTATACAGCAGTTCGATAAAATCACTGACATATTTAAAAAGATTGCAGATTTTTAAGCAGTTTGTAGCATGTGACAGGACAAGTCTTTCCTCCTGTGCAGGTGTTTTTGTGTACACAAAGCCAGGCTTCTGTAATGTGATTGAATAAACACTCTCAGGCATGTGGCTAAAGGTCACTTGGAAGGGACCGGCATGGAATAAAATGGACTATAACTGAACATAACATAACATTTTAGGTCAAAACCTTTAAGCTAGAGAAATGCCCAGATGGTATGGTAGTATGTAAAAACAAAGGTAAGCTGACTTCTCATTGAGTGGCCTGTCTTTTTGCCAACAAAGATGACTTGGGCACAGGGGGATTAGTTGAGAACCACTGAGAGTAGACTCCCTTATGTGCCGGCTTGATTTCAGGGCCTGTGGCACTGTGTCAAACATAGTTGGCCCCACCACAGTGTTCATATCATTTAATTGGCGCCACAATCGCACTGTTAGGTAATTAGCACTGAGCAGCAAACACACTGATCCATTCCATTTACTTCCCTCCTCCCTGCATCTGCATCTCTGCAAGCTCTCGCTACACGTACAGTGAACACATTGTAGCAAATGTGGCGAACAAATATAGAAGTCTGAGACAAATGGCCACTTTTGGTGCCCAGTCTTGTTGAAGAGTCTTATCTGGTGTCTGCCATTGACTGAAGGAAAAAAAGCAACAGTGTGCGCAGGGCTGGTCATGTCTCAGGGATAACATATGTTTTGACCCTGAAGTGGTGGTGATGGGAGATTCTGGAGAAACTGTTGGTCTTACCAGGGAAGGCTCCTCAGGCTCTGGGGTACGCGGCGAGCCGTCAGGGGAGGAGGGACAGCTCCGGTCACTGGCATTGGTCACGTCCCCATCTGCCAGGGCCTCAAACGAAGGCAATCCGTCCTCATCCACCGGGATGCTGTCCAGGGTCTCTGTAAGCACTGCCAGCAAGTTGGCCTCATTTTCTTCATCTATCTTCTTAGGAGGGGGGAAAGGGGGAAGACAGAGACAGAAAAACAGAGAGACAGGAAAAATAGGACATTTTAGTCAAGAGAAGTTGCATCTCTCTTTTTTTTCTTCCAAGGAAGTACAGGTGGTGGGTGGTTGCATGCAGGCTTTCATTGTTAATAGAGTGGGAAGACTTTTTCTCTTTTTTGCAGCAGCAGAGCTAGTTCTATTCTGGCAGCCTTTTTAAAAACAAAATTTTCTCCCTGTGCAAGTGAGTCAAGCCTGTCACTCATATTTTAAGCACGCAGCTTACTGGACCAAAATAATATCTCCCCCAAGAAACCCATTACCAGGGCTGACAAGTAGCAAGTATCTAGGGAAGACAGGAATGGGTCGGGGTGCATTGCGGTATGGAGGGGTTTGTGGGGGTAAAGGAAACAATGAGTGGAAGTTGACTCTCCTCAATCTTCCCCCACAGAATTGAGAGACGATGGGCTTGCCGACAAGATGTTTGCAAGCAATCCTCAGATATGGCAAATTACCACTCGCTAATGCTAAATAAATGTGATATATTTAAAATGTTGGCATGACAGCTGATGTTCACAATGGACGGGAAGTTATCATCAACATTTCATGAAAAGTAAACCTTGTTCTTGCCACTCAGCTCCTCTTTGATGTACCAGAGGAGTTGTGTGCTTGCTGCAGCTGGCTGTTTAATGGTAGAAATTATAACTGTGTGTGAGAAATAAAAAGACAGAGAGATGAATATATAGAGATGAATAGTGAGGAAAATTATCGACATGGGAGATTCACTAGGGATAATAAGTATGTATGTAGAGAAAAAAACAAGAATAGAGAGAATGTATATTAACAGTGAAAGCAGCGTGTTTGACAAAGGGGTGTGTATGTTTGTGTGTGTGTGTGCACAGTTGTGCCTTTGTGCAGTGACAAGTGACAACAGGAACTGTAAGTTCCAGGGCCATAAAAGCCCAGGGGACTTTAAGACAGCGGAAAGATAAACAGCGTCGTCACCCCGGGATGTTCTGTGGCCAGCCCAACGAGAACAAATCCCTTTATGCACATGGCAGGATTATCATCGCTCGGCGACGGCGTGTGGCCATCATTATGCCAAGGGGGCCACCAACCTCTTAGATACCAGCGCTGTACCTCAGAAGACTCCGATTCCCACATGCACAAAATGTACCCACCCACTTGTTTCTGTCTACCCAACTGATTTTACACAATTACACACCCACCATGGATGGCACTTCTGGAGCAGGTTTGGATTTACCAATGAGATAGTGCCCATTTTAATGCTTCCCCCCCCCTCCAATTTTCATTTACAGATGACACAGATATCTTGGACGTTCAGTTAGCTAGCTAACAGTGAGGAAAACGTTAATCTGATGTTCATTGAGTAGATTTTCTCCTAACAACATGAGCACTCAGTCATTATTAAAAAATGATAAAAGGGACATATTTCACAGAGATAACACGACGTAGACTGGGGCCATGCCGCATTGGCAAGCAAATGCCTTGCAGGAAATTGCTCTGTATGAGGTGGCATGCTGTTTAATTACTAGCAAGGAGCTTCAAATCCACTGTGCTGGAACCCTACGCTTCTGAAATGTTCACCATTTTCCAGCATCCCAAGTTATTACTGAGTACTAAGCGGGTAGGTATTAATCGCTGATAAATCCGGAGCCTTTTCTTAGCCCAAACATGCATCCTCGCATGATAAATTGAAAGCAGGATCATTTTAGATTATCACAAATGAGTCTTGAATGAGCCAGCCATCTGTTTAGGTCCAACCTCACCAACTATCCAAGCAATGCTGTTTTTGAGTGGGGTTTTATTCACCTTTCTAGAGTTCAAACCCATACATTCTGTAGAAACCACAGTCTATGTCACTCTGTGACTCTAGTTACATTAAAAGTTGAGAGGGCTGTACAAGCTTCGTTATGTCATGGTTTGGAAAGAATTGGGGAATTTCTGAGGCTGTGGCAGGCTTGAATGTAGCGATTTCAATCCTGTTTCAAAAACCTCCACCAATTGGCAAGCTCCCACAGGCAGACTGTATCCCCGAAGATAACCCAGAAGGGACTCTCATATTCTGAAAGAGACACTTGTAAAACCCTGAGTCGTGACGATCATGCTGCAGCCGCTACTGCGGCTCTAGTTGAGGCACTCGTTGGCCAAGAGGGGATTTGAGAAACTGGGGTAAGGAGCAAACCTCAGTGATCATTTCTACCCTGGAGAGAGCATGATCTAATACCCCTGTCCAGGAAGGCGAGCTTTTCAATGCCATCTTAAGGGCTGCACCTTGCAGAGTTTCTGCACCAAAGTCAATCTACTACCAATGACTCACTTGCCCCTTGTATATTTATAAACAAATTCTCTGTGTGGGCGGACTTCAGGAGCTATAGCACCCAAAGGGGGTGACGCCAGGATAACCTGGCAACCTGCTGACGGCTATGTCCACTTATATTGATTACTACAGCAGCTGCTGAGAGGAAAAGAGGGCAGGAAGAACAAAGAGAGAAGAGAAAAATTGTCTCGGTGGGAGCACTTTCTCGCCCATCCCGCTTAATGGACCTCACCGAATTAAAGAGATCTTAACAATCCTGGGCTAATTGTGGGATCACAATATATTAACCCCGCTCCAATTCTAAAGGGTGCCATTTTGTGGCTGTTTTATTCCAAATGCTTCAATTAGCCATAAAACATGCTGGCAAGTGCTGGCAGAGCGTCTCTCCCCCTCCTTCACCCCAGCTTCTCCCCGTCAGAGAAAAGAAAGCCAACTCCAGTTGTTCATTATTAGGTGAGGCCCTTTTGTTATCAGGCAGGCTGTCTTTGAGGTTGTCCTTGCCTTTAACTCTTTTATTGAGTTCCACAGCACAGCATTGTGTTCCAGGAGATACTATTCACACAGCTGATAACGGAAGGTGAAGGTGCCGTTTTAAACAAACACTCACTTTTGAACACTGGGGCAAATAGCCACATTAAATCTGCTAATTGCTTCTTGAGGATTCTGAGCTCCTGAGCAAATTTGCCAGGGATCAAATTTTAACGAGCTTTTTGGGGCAATGCATCATTTACATGTTAAAAGGAACAAAATGTGTTGTGGAAGTGCCAGCATGATAGAACTGATCACTAAATAACACCAAGATGAAGTTTCAACAGACTAAACAGCCCCGCCGTTATCTTCAAATGAGAAGCAGAACATGTGGCAGACACAGTGGGAAGATAAAATATCTCTCATTAAATGGGTCATCTGGTATTTAAAGTACTGTTTATTCTCACTGTCTCTTTTTGCGCACTATTTCCTTCTCTCTTTCTGCAGATAGAGAAATAGCATCCAGTTTGTTCAGACAGAAAACATTCTTAATAAATTGGCCCCCAAATTGCATGGTGGGGTTAAATCTGTGCCTTGACAATTTAATTGCATTGCTTCATCTCAATCTTTATTTTTTTTTCTCCCTTCTGCTGTCAGATTTAAAAAAAAAAACCCTTGGATGAGGTTAAGCTACTAGCCAGACCTTCCAATCATGGCACAATCAGAAATTGTGGGGGGTATACGTGTGTGTGGCGAGCGAGGGGGGTCGCATCAAGTCGTCGCATCTAGACTCTGCCAAGAAAAGCAGCCTTGGATATGATAAACAAATAATGTCATTCTGTGTTATTACCCCCGGCCCCCAGATTTCAGAGGAAATAAATCAACGTCAACCTTGCCGTTAAGGCGTTAGTCAGGCCTGACACGTCGGCCGGTCACACAGGCACAACATATGGGAGCAGAGAAGGAGGGAGGAAGGGAGAGGCAGGGAGGGTAAGGTACCCTGCACGGCGGAGAGACAAATCATGGCAGCCGCCAGAGACGTCTGGTCATTTAGCATGAGCTTACTGAGATGGAGAGAGGGTGATTATGGCCTATGCGGAGCGATGAAACCATACATAACACTGTTAAGTCCCTCTGTGTGTGTGTGAGAGTGTGCTATTTGTGTGTATGTGAAGCAGCGGTGACACAGTCTAACGGTGTTCCAAATCATAAAACTAAATGTTAAACCTTCATTGTGGTCAGGCCTGTGATTGCCTCTGTAGCACACAGCAGCCAACTGAAGGCGCCTGTCATTTTCCCTCTGACTACATACTCAATAGAGCATCTTGTTATTGTGAAACTGAATTTCCCAAGCAAATGTTATAGACACAAAAATCACAGCACCGATGGCTGATGATTTTTCTCTGTATTCATCAAAAAGGATGCATACTCCCTCTGTCTGCCTAATTTGTCACTACTCCAGTTTCAGTTTATGTTCGGGTTTATCATGATGCTTTGAGCTGTAAGTTGCTAAATCTTGTACCCTCTAAATGCAGACAAGATTGTCCGGTCCAAGCACCAGGCAGCTGATTTTAGCCTTCTCCATCCTACTTAGCTATAAAACCACAACTGGCCATGTGATAATCCCTCCGCTCTGGCAGGAATTCACTATTTTGTGCCTCCGTTTAAACAAAAATGGCAGCTCTTTGAATGAAGAAGAAGTGGTGCTGCAGAAGCTGACTGTTTACATGCCAGATGTCTGTCTCAGTTTAGAAGGCTACGTGAGTTTTACATCAATGAGGGAAACGGCCGGACCCATCAATGAGGACCAGGAAGTGTGTCTGTGTGTGTGTGTGTGTGCTCAGAGATGATGCCTCTCCTGGGAACCATTTGAGACTGTTAGAGCACTATCAGATGAGCTGATGGGGGAAAGAGAGAGGAAAAGAGAATGTGAGAAGAGGAGATGTCTGTGTGTGTGTGTGTGGGTGTGTGTGTGTGTGTGAGTGAGAGAGAGAGAGAGAGAGAGAAAGAGTGAGCCAAAGAGGGAAAGAGAACTGTTGTTACACATCCTGACACAGGCCAGATCCGATTGAGACACCTACCCAAGGGATGTTAGCAGTGCTGTTCTTTCTAGTTCTCTGTGGAAAAATCCTTTGACCGGTAACCCTGCTGCTGCTGTTGCTAAAGCTAACCACCTGAACTCTGTCAAACATCT